AGCAGAAGAATTTACTGAGGATGATGAAGGAAGATGCTGTGGATTGTGATCCCCTAGCCCCAAATTCATATGATGAATCTCTGACTCCCAATGTGATGGTATTTGGAGATGGGATCTTTAGGGGAAATTAGATTTAGATGAGGTCATGGCATAGGGCCCTCATGATGAAGTTAGTGCCCTTATAAGAAGGGATGGCAGACCGCTTGCTTCCTCCTCCTCTCTGACCTCACCATACAAGTATACAGTGAGAAGGAAGCCATCTGCAAGCCAGGAATAGAGCTCTTATCAAGGAATTAACTGGCTAGCACCTTACCTTAGACTTGCCAGCCTCTAGAACTATGAGAAAATAAGTTTCTGCTTAAGCCATCAGCTGCTGTGTTTGTAATGGTAGCCTGAGTGCACTAATTTGGGGGAGGAGGTGCTGGAGACTTGAGAAGTTATATAAAAGTAATATAGGGGAATAGAGCAAATTGATGGGGAAAGTTTAATAGTTTGGAAGGCAGAAGTGAGGGCTAAGTTAGGATTTTTACTCAAATTCAAAGTTGGTCTGTTTAGCATGTTTTTGAGTTTTATTCTAGTTATAATCAACTATTTCAGTGTAGAGAGAGCAGGTTTGGATAACTAGGCCATTTGAGTTACTGTGATATATGAAGGAGGGAAAGGAGATAAAGGCATTATGGTGTTCACAACCATACAGTAAACATATTGCATAGAGATCACATCGACAGAGGCAATTATAAGTAATTAGGAGTGTGAAACATATAATTCATTAAATAAATTCTATTGAGAGATGTGGTGGATTTGTAACATGTCACTTTGACTAGACTGAACTACATTTCTCAGAATTCCTTTTCTGTATATTTCCAGTTATAATGGGCCACTAAAGACATTTTTATAGGCCATTAGGGAGATGGAAGTTAAACAAAAACATTAGTGTTTCTCAACATAGACAGTAATGCTATCTCAAACCTTGGTGTGGGACATTAGCTTGGTCTGCAGTTTCACCACCTTTCCCTGGATCCTTTAACTCTGCAAATCCTGGCAGGTGTGTGTTTAGCTTTATGACGAAGGTCATTCTTTCAATGTGGGATCACATCATCAAGATCACAGGTGTTAAGAATTGGCATGGGTTTTGTTCTTTCCTCATGGGTTCCAGCTCCTTCTTGTGAGTTCCAGCTTGTCCTCATTCTTCCTATGCTATATCCATCTTCTCTTCCTGCCTTTACCCTGGAAATTCCAAGTTCTAGCATAAGACAAAAGATAACAGCCTTAAAGACACTGCTTAACCAGCTCTCATAATTGTATAAGACTCAATCCTGGTAACAAATGTGTTATCTTACATGCAGTGGTTCTGCTTCTTTGATGAAATTCTGATAGAAAAGATTATGAAAGAAGTATTAAACAAATGGAGGAACATAATTTATAAACTGGGAAGATTATTGCACAGGTGTCAATTTTCTAGATTCATTTATTAATTTAACAGCCCTGATAAAAATCCAGCTGGATATATAGGTCTTAGAACTTCAAATGTAGGGATCCTTTAACAGTAAGTATGTGACAGAGCACAAAGAGCAGCTAGGTTTGTGCTACGCCTGGAAACATTATATAGGTAAGCTGTGTAAAATGTCTACAGCAAGAAATCAAACTATGAACCAAGATTTTCATTTCAGGTGGCAGGAATTAAGTAGAATAAAATTATAGCCTGTACATATATGGTGCTTTATGTGTGAGACACTCATTTTCTAAGTGCTACACGCACATACCTACGTGCTGCCCCATCCCCCAGCTCATTTAATCATGACAACAGCCCTATGAGGTATGATAGTCTTCCTATTTTTCAGGCAAGAAAATTGAAGCACAGAGAGACTAAGGACCTTGAACAAGGTCACACCAGAAAGTAACAGTAAACTCACACCAGAGATTAATAGAAGTCAGAACTCCTATCCCATACCAGGCTCTTGCTTTTTCTCATTGAGATGTGAAGTCTGCTCTTTGAGAACTTCACCCTGGAAGAGAAAGGCAGACAGTGGAGTAGATCAATGCCTACAAGGTTTCTTGAGAGGGAGGCAGGAGTAATTTATCTTGTAACTAACTGAATGCATCTGGACCATTAAAGATGGAGAAAATCAGCTCCATTAACAGAGCTAAGGGCAATTGACTGTCATTATTCTTGTGGGTTGATGGGTTGTTGAAATAAAGCGGACATAGTAGCTCCAAGGATAGACTATTGAGTAAAACATGTTATGGACCAAGAATCAAGAATCAAGTTGTTTAATATCTGGACTTTATGAGTGGGGCATTTTAGTGCACACCAACACAAGAACACCCCTTCAGCTCATTGTCAAGCCAAAGTGGATCCCGTCAACTGACAGATAAGCGATTAAAAAGAGAGGGAAAGAAGTCATATTGCTCCAGGCCCATAAACATGGTCTCATGGTCAAAAGACAAGGTAGCTACATTGGCTAAAACATGCTCTGCCTCTGGGGAACAGGAAATGGTTGCTGTGTATTTGGGTGGGAGGAAAGGATTTGGAGGATTACTAATTTTCATAAAAGGCCTCCTAAATTTTTTATCTTTATGTTCATAAAGATCTGATTTTTAAAAAATGCGCAAAAAACCACAATGAGATCCAATTCTTCACCTGTCAAATTAGCAAAAATGCTAATGAGCCTGGGATGAAAACACTGGTAAGTGTATGATGGAATGTTCCAATTATTGCTGGTGGCAGAGTTAATTGGTGTGACCTTTCTGGGCAGCAGTTTATCAAACATGTATGAAGAGTCTTAAGAAACCTGATAATTCCTGTAATTCCATCCCTGAGAATCTACCATAATAAAGTAATCTCAAATATTGAAGACAGCTTTACCCTCAAAGAAGTTCCTAGAATTAAAATTGTGAAAAACTAGAACAGAATGTCCAATTATAAGAATTAAATAAACCATAGTACATTCACTTATTAAAATATATAGGACTGAATATTTACAAAGATTCTATAAGAACATGGAAAATGCTGATGGCATAATAAGTGAGAAGAGTAGGATATACAACTATATATATATATATTCTTAAGTGTACATATTTTTGGCAAAGGCTTAGAAGATAAAACCAAAACTGTGAGAAAAAATAGTTGAAGGTAGCTGGTAGGAAAATTGATGATTTCTGACCCTTTGTTTATACTTGTCTGAATTTTCAAGTCTGTTCATGAATATGTTTTGCATGAAAAAAAATAAGTCAAATGCAGTAACAATAGAATAAATGACAGTGTCACTTTAATCATCAGAAAGAAAAGGGTACTGTAATAAACAAGCCTGAGCCCCTCAAGCCCATTCTCATTAAGGTCAAAGAGAAGTTCCAACCCTTAAAAAAATAGAAAAACAGTTCTATTGGAGCTATTCTAGGAACAGCTTTCAAAGGGAAGGTCATAATAGAACCTAAAAAAAAGAAATGTTCTGGATATGTGACCGAGCTTGGTTTATTTGGAATAAGTTGGCTCAGAAACTGTTCTGATTAACCTGCATGGGTAAGATGGCATTTAACTTGAATATTTGGTTATATTGCATCAATCTTGCTTTTTCTACTGGAAAAAAAAAAAAAAGCAAAACTAATATTGTATTGGGAAAGGGTAGGGGTGGGGAGTTAAGAGAAATTTTTGTCAAATGTGTTTTAGATTAGAGACCCCACTAGACTACAGCTTCGAAGTGGAATTAGTCATTGGCACAAACGTGCCTTTTTAAAACTATTTCTGGTGCAGAAGCAAAGGTGTGTGTGTATTGCCAGGGCCAGGTTTTCTCAGCTTCTCTTGCTTTGCTATGTTGTCACTTGAACTAGGATTTGAGGTAGGAGATGGCAGTCAGGGCTTCTAGTATGTGATCTACTACATAGGATTATTTTTTTTCTTTTTAAATTTCTTCTGAAGGACTGGTTGCTATCAGTGCATAGTTTCTCAGAAACGTTTAAAAGGACAATAAATAGCATTTTGGGGTTATTGCCCTAAAACTAGGGTTTTTGTATACTTTAGACCAAAAAAAAAAAAAAAATCCTGCCATTTGCAATATGGGTCAACCGTGAGGGAATTGTACTGAGTAAAAGAAGTCAGAGAAAGACAAATGCTATGTGGTATCACTTATATGTGGAATCTATTTGTAAAAAAATGAACTCATAGATACAGAGAATAGATTGATGGTTGTTAAGTGTGTGGGGGGGGAGGGGCACAAAATGGGTATAAGTGGTCAAAGTTACAAGCTTTCAGTTATAAAATAAATAAGTCCTGGGGATGTAATGTACAGCATGAGAACTATAGCTAATTGTGTATTTGGAAGTTGCTAAGAGAGCAGATCTTAAAAGTTCTCAAAGGGTGATGGATGTTAACTAAACTTATTTTGGTAATCATTTTGCAGTACGTAAATATATCAAATCATTATGTTGTACACCTGATGTTAATACAATGTTATATGTCAGTTATATCTCAATTTTAAAAAAAAGGTAAGGAATTAGAAAAGCCAAAGTAAGTAATACTTTTGCATATATAAATCTGAATTACACTGATAGACTCACAAGATACTCTATATAATTTTACTTTTGTTAAAAAGTATCTCTTATACATTTCTTTTCCATTAGCTATTCTTTATTATAAAACATAACAGGATAACTCCTAAGCATTTTGGACATTTGCAAATATTAGAAGATAGACATGTGTAATAGATCAGGTCTCCACATTTTTATTCTTCTTTTTCTGCATTCCCAGGGTGAATTATATTATGGGAATTTGTACATTGTCTGTAGTGACACTATCTACTATTTTTATTTTCAAACGTGACTGCTGCCTTCAGCATTGTGCAATGTTTGGCTAGCACTGTGTTTTGGCTGTGGTTGTGTCAGGAGTTTCTTGTGTTATACATTATTGCAATAGATTTTGTTATTGATTCCAGATATGTTTATGTGTCTTTCTTGTTCTCAGTTTCTGGAGGTTAATCTGTCTAGTGTTGTTCTTTTTCTTGCAGGAAGGAATCGGAATCCTTGAGAGTTGGATAAAACTGGCACAAAGAAATGGAAAAAAAAATCCTGAATGAAATCTTTGGAAGTAAAACTATAAATTGATTCCAAGTAAAGACTTTCTTAGGTCTGAAAAATCTCAGACAAATTTAGAAGTATTTTTATCTATAGTGTCTTTACATTCTTGCTGAGTAAAACAAACAAAAAACCCAAACCCAAATAAAACAACAAAAAAATTGCTATTCAATGATACGTTCTTGAATGCATAAAATGGTGTATAGGCTTCTCAGTCGAGACTGGCTCTGTGTTTGGCCAGCAAATGAACAGCATGGCAAAAGTGGATAGTACAGTAGCGTAGCTGGTAGCATTTTTCTTGGTTAATCAATATGATGGAAAGGTGGACATAGATGGATTTATCTTCCAAGTTTTTCCAGCCAAACTGGTTTTCATAGAAAGGGCTCTATTTTAATCCTTGTCACAGTATAACCACTATATATTGGATATAACCTAAACAGTTTTATTTATAACTCCTATTGTTTCTTTAAACTTTTAGTTGAGCAAAGATTTTTTTCTATCAGATTAAAACTTAGAAGATCCCAAAATGTTTATGTTCACTGTACAGTGATACAGTTACTTTGAGATAAGACAGCCTCAGTGCGAAATTTAAAAATAATCCATTCTAACTGGTGAGATACCACCTTACACCAGTTAGAATGGCAAAAATGGACAGGGAAAGAAACAACAAATGTTGGAGAGGTTGTGGAGAAAGGGGAAGCCTCTTACACTGTTGGTGGGAGTGCAAGTTGGTACAGCCACTTTGGAATACAGTGTGGAGGTGCCTCAAAAAATTAAAAATAGAGCTACCCTATGACCCAGCAATTGCATTACTGGGTATTTACCCCAAAGACACAGATGTAGTGAAAAGAAGGGCCATATGCACCCCAATGTTCACAGCAGCAATGTCCGCAATAGCCAAACTGTGGAAAGAGCCCAGATGCCCTTCAACAGATGAATGGATAAAGAAGATGTGGTCCATATATACAATGGAATATTACTCAGCCATCAGAAAAGATGAATACCCAACTTTTACATCAACATGGATGGGACTGGAGGAGATTATGCTAAGTGAAATAAGTCAAGCAGAGAAAGTCAATTATCATATGGTTTCACTTATTTGTGGAACATAAGGAATAACATGGAGGACATTAGGAGAAGGAAGGGAAAAATGGGGAGGGGGAATTGGAGGGAGAGATGAACCCTGAGAGACTATGGACTCTGAGAAACAAACAGGGTTCTAGAGGGGAGGGGGAAGGGGGAATCGGTTAGCCCTGTGATGGGTATTAAGGAGGGCATGTACTGCATGGAGCACTGGGTGTTATACGAAAACAATGGATTGTGGATCACCACATCAAAAAACAATGATATATTGTATGGTAACTAACATAACATAATAAAATTAAAAAAAATAAAAATAAAAATAATCCAGTGTTAAGATTTTAGAATTTTGATTTTTAATCCAGAGTAAGAGGCCCCAGGCCTGCAGATAGTAAGCTGGAGCATTTGGGGAGGAGAAAGAGAAGCTTATCAGTAACCTTCCTGGGCTTGGACTTGTTGAGCTGTAGTTTTGGATCATGCCAACGTTAAAGGAAGAGGCGGGAAGAAAGGGAAATAAGGAAGGAAAGTTCTTTGCTCCTGGTGGCTGGTATCTTCATAAGCCAACTTCTCACTCTGGTCCCGGTGGGCGTTTATAGCTGATACTTTCTTCTGTGGGTACTCTGAAGACCCCTCAGTGGCCCTTTTTAGGGGCAGCTCTCATAGCATGAAATAACATCTCTCCTACTGCCCTCAGCCCTGCTGTGGAGATAGCTTCCTCTTGGTGCTGCATCCAAGTCTTTTGTGTTCCCAACCAGCTCTTTCCCCCAGAGCCCACATTTGGTCCATGGGAATCAAACATTTCTTTGCTTTTACTAATAATGGAAGTATAGTTCCTTTGCAAACATAGCCTGTTATCCTGAAATAAAGCACTCTAACTTTCTCAGTCCACGGTCTCTCTCAATTATGGAGAAGATCAGGTCCCTCCAGGGGCTCTGGCTGCAGGCCTTACTCTCATTGCAATGAGGAATGACAACCCCCCCCTTTACCCTTGGGGAGAGGAGATGGGGCTCAAGCCCAGCTTTTTCCATAGAAACATTCTCCAAAATATCTTTTTCATTCTCTGAATGCTTTGCCTCCCCCTTTTTCTGTATTCTTGATCTGACTGAATAGGCCAAGAATTGTGGAACCAGTTTCTGTACATTCTATTTGTGCATTTTGCATCTTGTCTGGCACCTAGCTTGGGCACACATCACCTTTAGTATTTTGTTGCCTGGACCAAAACCCCGGTTAACACACCGTTATACTGATGTGAACTGCAATGGCAGTCCTGTTAGTTAGATCTTAGCCTAAGATTGCCAGAAAAGATGGAGAACACCTATTTAAATTTAAATTTCAGATCAACAATGAATAATTTTTTTACTATGTGTATGTCAATGCAGTACCGGAGACATGTAAACTAAAAATTGTTTATCTGAAATTCAAATTTAACTGGGCATCCTGAATTTTATTTGCTAAGTCTGGAAACCTTCTCTTAATCAAAACCTTTTAAAGCGACCGAAATACATTTTGATTAACATTTTATTATCTACAGGGCTGTACATATGTATTTGTCTCTCATGTCCAATTTGGATAATTAGGTGTAACCTGTGCTGGAGGCATAAAATAACTGTTCAGCAAATCTGTTCTGGTGACAATATGGCTCTGTTTCTGGGCGTGTAAGATTTGCCATCCTCCTGAACACTAATTTGTCTTGTACCTACACATGTGCAATGAATCTTGAGGGTAAAGATCATTTTCTCTTAGCCACATTGAGGCCTAGTTTGGGGAGGGTTATAATATGATGAAAAGAATTGTAGTACAGGGAATAAGCTGTTTGTTCTGCTATTAAACACTTCTTGCAGTTAACTATTTTTCAACTCATAAATGCTTGTTATTTATAATGTGTCTTGTAAGGAGTTCAAAGTGTATTACAAAAGCATCCTATTAAGGCTATCTGATTCCACTGTTGATATTATTAGATATCATGGTATAATCCTACTTTTAATGATAAACAAATGGGTTGAGCAATGAGGTTCCAAAAATCAGAGTAAGAAAGCAATTTACCAAATCAAGGTTTCTATTCAACATTTTCAGTTCACATCATGAAGTTAATTTAATGGCACAATCTTTGGAGAAGGAGTCATTTTGTAAGTTTTATGTGTTCTCAAGGTTCTGGTTTGGTGGCAGAAGGAGAAACAGAGGTTTTCCACAATAAGATCTCTGAGGCATGTTTAGAGTGAAGAGTGCCTGAGAGGACTGTGGGTAGGTGTTTCATGGAAGATGGGATCCTCTTTAGCTGCTAATTCTGAAAATTATAGCAATGGTGGAAGAAGAGGATTTATGGAAATTACCTGGGTGGAGCTTTAAATATATAACAAGTGTTTCTGATTAAAGATGGTAAAATTGATTATTATTCTTTCCTTGCCTGAAAGTTTATAGCATTACCACTGTAATACTTGACTAGTTTATTTCAAAACTTAAAAAGACAGGGTCTCAATGAAGGTTATCTTGTATCTGTGAAAAATGCATAGGATGGAATGGGAGAGAACTACCTTAAAAGAAGCTAATGTGAAAAACCTTATAAATCATAAACATAATCTGGTTATCATATGCCACCAGAAATTCAAAATGAGCTAATGGTGTGATGTCACTGCATAAAATATGAATGTAGTCTTGGTCTGCAATAGTGGAAGCATATTGGTATGAGCATCTCTGAACTCACTTTGGGGTATAACAGATATGTAAGAATGCACAAAGCTTATGTGAGGAAGGGAAAACTTAAGTGACTTAAGTGGGACATCCTAGCTGTCTTCAAATATTTAGAGTGCTCCCTCATGTAGAAGATGAATGGACTTAGTGTAGTTGCAGAGCATAACTATAGCATCAATGAATAGAATTTACCAGGAGACCCATTTCAGCCTGTAAACTAGCTAATAAATAGAACAACCTAAACACAAAAACTGGTTTCAGTTCAGATCTTTCAGTTCAACTCTATGATTTCGTAATTCTAGATATTCTTACAGAGCATGATATTAATTAAAATATGTAAAGTACTTGCTATCTTTAGTCACCGTCCTAAGGATATGCACGCATTCTTTCACTCAGAAAATATTAACTAACCACAGGTACCAGGCATTGTTAAAGGCCCAAATATTTGCCTTCCTAGAGTGATATTCTAAATAGCATAATTAAAAAAAAATTGTATAGTAAGTGGAAAAAATGATACATGTTCAAGTTAAAAATAGAACCAGGAAATAGGATGGGGAGACCTAAGGGAGGATTTGCAATTTCAAAGATTTTATTTATTTGACAGAGAGAGACAGTGAGAGAGGGAACACAAGCAGGGGAAGTGGGAGATGGAGAAGCAGGCTTCCCGCGGAGCAGGGAGCCCGATGCGGGGCTCGATCCCAGGACCCTGGGATCATGACCTGAGCCGAAGGTGGATACTTAAGGACTGAGCTACCCAGGCGCCCCAGGATTTGCAATTTTAAATGGGGAAGGCCTTGAGAAGATTATTGTATTTGTGTGAAGGTTTGAAGGGGGTGAGGAAGCAAACCATTTGAATATCTAAGGGAGAAATGACCCATGCAGAGTGAACAGCAAGGGCAAAGGTCCTAAATCAAAGCTTGCCTTTTGTTCTGAACAGCAAGGAGACCCCTGAGGCTGGAGGCAAGTGGCACAGGGGAGGGTAATAGGAGTTAAGGTCTGAGAAGTAATAAGGGACCAGCTTTTGTAGGGCCTTTCAGGTCTTGGTTGAGAATTTGCTTTTTCCTCTGAGCAAGATAGGCAGCCACTGAAGGGTTTTGGCAGGGAGCGACATGATGTGGTTTACTGTGTGATTTGCAGAGAACAGATTGTAGGGGACAAGGGAGACAGTTAAGGAGGCTGTTGAGATAATCCAGGAGAGAGAGGATGGTAGCTGGCCCCATGTTGGTCGCAGCAGCGATGGAGAGAAGTGGCCAGAGTCTGCATTTATTTTGAAGATAGAGACCACAGAATTTGCTGGCAGATCAGATGTGGGGTGTGAGGGAAAGGAGGAATTAGGATGACATCAAGGAGCTGGGCCTGAGCACATGGAAGGACAGAATTGACATGAAATGTAATGGAGAAGACTATGAAGTTTTGTGCAGGTGGGAAGGATATCAGCAGCATTTCAAGAATTATCCTTTTAACCATCTTAAAATGCTTTGGGGTTATAATCTCCATTCTACAGAAGATGAGACTGAAATAGAAGTTAGGGAACTGGGCAGCATTCAAAGTGAAGGGAAGTTCTGAACACAGGTACCTGACCAGGACTTGTCCTCCCAACAGCTGTGTGTGATGTCATATAATAGACCTGGTCACAACATAGCCCATGTTCCTCAGCAGAGAGCGGATGACACAGGCTCAGAAACACAGACCACCACTGAGTTATGGGAATCTGAGGAGGAGACTGAAGGTACAGGAACAGGAAAAAACTGAAACTCTACCTGCAAGCATAAACAATGGCTCCTTCTCTCATTGATTTTTATTGAGGGAGAAAAGCATTTTGAGTAAAGAGACTTTTCTCTGGTTAGCTAATGGTTGAATTGTTAAAAAATCCTCATTTTTCTGATATGGAATTGATTTTGTGTCATTTATGTAAATTGAGCATGGTGATACTTTTTTTTCCCCCCAATTAAATGGTTTCACTTTTATTTTTAATCTTTCTGGCTCTCAATTTTCATCATAATAAAGGACTTTTAAATTCTGTATTATATACTCAGCCATCTTCCCTTTTTATGAACATTAAAGATAATTTGAAAAGCATAGCCAAGTTTTAACATAAAGTCACTCTAAGAAGTAACCACAAATGGTATTTTAGTACATTTCCTTTTAATAATCCCTTTAGTTTTTTTAGTACATATTTATAGATGTTATATATGATGGATATTGTATTATATGTATATAGCTTTGTATTATGCTTTTTAACTGACATAATATGACAATTTCCCCAGGTTATTAAATTCTTTGTAAATGTAATATCCATTCATAATTCTTTTAAGCATCCCCTGTTGTTGAACTGACCTATAATTTTGTAGTATCTTTTTAAAAGGACTTTTAC